CCAGGGCAGCCGTGGAGCAGAGGGAGCAGGGAGCAGCGGACCAGGCAGCAGTGGGTTAAAAGCTTGAGGTGGGACTTGGGTGAGCTGCTGGTGAGCTGCTTCCTCCGGTGAACAATAACAGTGCCAGGGAGCAGGGACGAAGGGCTCTGCAGGGCCAGATAGTGGTGGAGCTGCCCCGGAGCACCCCTGGCCCAGCAGCTGTGGTGGGCTGGAGGAAGCCCCAGTGTGTTATCTGCTGGCCCCACTTGGCTTCCTTGGCACCCTTGGGCTGCAGGCTTCTAGATGCGCTTCCTCCTGAGCCACGTTTCTCATGCACCCAAGTGGGGTCCCGGCACTGTGACTGAGCCCCGGGCCCCAGCACCCTCCCAGCACCTTCCCAGCACCGCACCCACCAAGAGCTGCAGGTCCCCGGGTGATCCAACCTCCCCAGCATCAGCCGGGGATCCCTACCCTGCTGCTGGTGGCTCAGGGAATGGTCACACGGGGCGCTGAGCCACAGCACCGCAGTGCCACCCGCCACTGAGACGTCCCCACCATGACCACCCTGCTGCCTCGTCCCCTCCTGCCATGGACTGTGCCCGCACCTCGGCAGAACGAAGAGCTGCTCTGGCTGTTAGGAGTCTCCCGCTGAGGGGATGTCCCGGGGCTGGCTGAGGTCCCCGCTGTCCTGTTGTTGCTGCACCCGGCTGCCCTGGCCACCCTGGCTGGTGTAACCACGCTTCCTCGTGCGCCGGGACCTGCCTCCTGCTCCACCTCCGCAGCGTGTCACCGCAGCAGCCCTTTTCCGTTCCCGGTTGCCTCTTCTGACCCTCTCGTGGAGCCTTTGCCTTTCCCGGGGGCTCTGCCTGCCACCGTTTGCCCCGCTCCGGCACGGGGAAGTGGCCTCTGCAAACGGGTCTCGTCCCAATCCTGCCAAGTCCCGCCAGGACTCCCCATGTCGTCCCCACTCCTGTCCCGACCCACGGACCTGCCTGAGCCCAGCTCCACATGCATCAAGCCTTTGCCAGGGGCTGTGGGGCTGCAGGAAGGCAGCTGGCAGGAGACCCTGCGAAATGTGGACCTTTCCCACCAGTGACCTCGGTCCCTGGAGCCTGGAGAGCTGCTGGGCTCCCCAGCAGAGAGATGTGCTTGCCCAGAGATTTGGGTTTGTCCCCTGATGCTCCTATGGCTCCCCAGGGGCTGGCAGAGGCAGCCTGAGCTGCTCTGGGTGACAACCTCCCCACCCATGGGCCCTGGACATCCCCAAACACGCTCCCGTGCCCTTGTGCAGGGTCCCCGAGGGCTTCTCCAGGTTTCCCCACCATGACAATGCACTGGTCCAGGTGGCACCTGTCCTCAGCTCCAGACAGAGATGGATCAGCTGCTGAAAGCAGATGGATCCTAACTCATCCTCGCCCTGTCCCAGCTTGCCCACGGAGCTGCAAGATGGCCAGATGGGGCTGCCACCCCATGCGTCCCCTGGGGCACGGTGCTGCAGCCCAGTGAAAGGACATGGGGCGCAGCGCTCAGGGCTGCGGGGTGCCATCGTGGTGGGCAGGGGGGACGCTGAGGTCTAACGCTGCCTAGAGCCAGGAGATAAGCCTGACACAAAGGGCAAAGCCAGCAAAAGGCAGTGAGTGAGGCAGGAAACATCAGGCAGGAGAGGAAACAGGGAGATAACCGGCTGCATGAGCACAACCGCCCGGAACTCGCGCACAGGAAAAGCTGACACTGCTCTGCGAGCGTTTGAGCAGGGAGAGCTGCCCGTCTGGCCCCTCACCAAGGCTTTGTGCAGAACACATGTCCTGGAGCGTCTTGAGGTGTTGGGCATCCTGGCCGCCATGTACCACGGTGTCTGGCAGCTCAGCTCCAGCACATGCTCCCTAGGATGAGCCTTGGCTTGGAGTGGGCACTGATGGGCTCCTGGGAGCAGGAGCCTCATTGGGGATAGCGAAGTACTCCCCAGTTCTGATTCCCCGGTGCAGAGTTCCAGGCTGGGTCACCCTATCCACTCTCCTGTTGGCTTGAAAAATGGGATCGACTGACCCGCTGTCACCTGGCTCTGTCCCGGCACCCAACGGACAGACCACGGCGCTGGGCTTCCAACAGGCCAGTGCTCATGGTGCTTCATCATCCAGCAGCCTCTCAAGGTTTGTTCTCTTCTAGCAATGCCCCGGGGACCTCACCTGCAGAGCTCCCTGCTCCGCCTCCCACCACAGGGCCACCCACGCCCCAGTGACCTGCCCACGCTGTGATGTCCCCGTTCCCAGGGGGCTGTAGAGAGATGCTCACAGACTGATCAGCCTCCTGAACTCAGCCAAAACCCTGCTGCCCAGCAGGTGGGCAACCAGCCGGGGTCCCCTGAACTTCAGACCACCACCCAGGCTGAGGGAGCTTGTCCCAGCTGCCAGCGGACCCGTTTCTCCCTGTGTTCCCAGGGTACCAGCTGCATCCACCTCTGGGGCTGGCACCGATCATGAGGGGGCTGTAACTGCCGGCAAGCAGCAGTGGGACCCCTGGGAATCGCTCATCTCCTGGGATCCAGCACGTGGCATGGAGCAGAGGGGGAGAAACATGGACAGAGACGGGCATGGAGCCAGCCCGCGGGGGCTGGCCGGGCTCCGGCTGGGTGGTGGGGAGCAACTGGGGCAGGAGAAGCTCTGCCAAGGGGTGGGAAGGGCGCTCGGCGGAGACTCGGCCATGGCTCAGAGCCCACATGGGGCTGAGTGCAGCCGTACAGCCACAGGATCAGGCCCTTCAGCCACGCTCCTGTCCCTCGGCTGTCCCTCACCAGGGACAAACGCCTGGGGAGGTGCCCGGGGGGACACTGACTCCTCTGGCCACAGCTGGGAAGGAAAAGAGCAGAGGAGCGAGCGTTTGTAGGGGCACTGGGGGGCTGGGAAGAGCCCAGGTGGTTCAGAGCATCCCCAAGGATGCTGCAACCCCCGTGGGGCAGCACCTTGCCCCCGTCCCAGCGGGGCACGGTGGGATGCGGCAGGGT